CTCCCCCTCCTCCTTGTCTTCCTCCTCCTCTTCCTCCTCCTTCTTCTGGGACTGGGGTTTGGACTCAGGGCTGGTGCTTCATCACTTGAGCCACACCTCTAGCTCTGCCTTTCACTGGTTATTTAGGAGACTGAGTCTAGCAAACATTTCTGGGTTGACCTCAGTTTACAGTCTTCCATATTTATGCCTCCTGAGTAGTATGAGCCTTTAGTGCCCGGCTATGTTTCTGTTTATTTTTTGTTTGCTTTTCCATTGTACCATGGAACCTATGTAATCTCATAAGAGAATAATACAAGCTACAGTTTATTGAGTCTCTTTGACAATTGTCTAGAACATTAGGCTTACAATTCCTATTGATACCAAAATGTCCACTTGAAAAAAGACTACTGGGAAAGATCAGAACTCACATGGGCCAGGGGCAGGGTGGGGTGGGGTGGTCAGTGCAATAGAAAAGGGTATAAGATATTTATATAGAAATGTGGAGTTCAGGGGCTGGGAATGTGGCTCAGTGGTAGAGCACTTGCTTTGCATGCATGAGGCCCTGGGTTCGATTCCTCAGCACCACATAAGCAGAAAAAGCTGAAAGTGGTGCTGTGGCTCAAGTGGTAGAGTGCTAGCCTTGAGCTGAAGAGCTGAGGGACAGTGCCCAATCCCAGAGTTCAGGCACCATGACTGGCAAAAAAAAAAAAAAAAGAAAAATGTGGAGTTCATCCAAGGACTCATTTCAGTCTGACATGAGCTTTATTACCTTCAGTTTTTCACATGGGACACTTTGCTAAGAGGCAGAGCCTGAGCGCATCTGAGGTCTCCTGGATCCAGGTCTAGTGATATTTGCACAATATCACAGTGTGTAGTTGTGAACACTGCTTCCCCTCCTTCCTCTTCAGCTGCTGTTAATAATAGGAAGTTCTCAAAAGACAATTAGCTCTTTTTGCCAATAACAGATATTTGATGGAGGGAGAGAGAGCAGTATACGATACTTACTAAAAGAACAGACTTTGGAATGAAGTAATTTTCCACTTCCTACTGGCCAAGGAATAATGGACAAAAGACCCCTGTAGAGGGATCTCCTAGAACAAATAGCTGGTATCTATCTTTTTCCTCAAGTTTAATGGTTTTAAAGTCTGATCTTAACAACGGATCTAATTGTTACTTTTCCAAAAACTTGATTTCTTATTTACTGTGTTCACATACAATTAAGTAACTGTTTTTGTAATATGTGGATCACACTATTATCAGAAATGGTACCATTTTGCAGCCTATATTCTTGTCAGCCATTGGTGATTGTGGCCAGTTAATGTAAGTGCAGAATCTGACTTTGGGAGTTCAACTTTTGGAAGGGAACTCAGTCTGGGACTGGAATGGGTGGAAATCCATCTATGGACTTACTACTTTCAGCATTTAGAGGATTTTTGTTGTTGTTGTTGGTCATGAGATTTGAACGTAGGTCCCTGAACTCTTTTGCTCAAGGCTAGCTTTCTACCACTTTGAACAACAGCACCACTTCCAGTTTTCTAGAGGTCAAGTGAAAATGAGTCTCATGGACTTTTATATACCTGGGCTGGCTTTGAACCATGATCCTCATATCTCAGCCTCCTGAGTAGCTAAGATAATAGGTGTGAGCCACCAGCACCCAGCTTTGTGTTACTTTTATATAATTAAAAGACTCTCAAGCTGGGTACTGGTAGTTCATGCCTGTAATTTTAGCTACTCAGGAGGCTGAGCTCTGAGGATTATAGTTCAAAGCTAACTCCAGATAAGAAAGTTCATGAGACTCTCATATCAAATTAAACAAAAAAGAAACCTATACGTGGAACTCGGGCTCATGGGGTACAATACCAGTCTTGAGCAAAAAAAAAATTTAAGGGACAGCTCCCAGGGCCTGAATTCAAACCCCACTACTGCACTACTGGTGCACACACACACACACACACACACACACACACATACACAACACACATACTCACACACACAGACTCATAAATGAGAATGTTAAGTATTCTGTAAAAGGGAGACTTAGAAATAGAACACCAAATTGTTTAATGGTCAGCCAAAGTGGATGACACTTCTGCAGACAGCAGAGGAAGGTCTCAGGTCAGTTTTTCCCTTTTGCCTCATGATGGAGTAAGGTAAGAAGGAAGTGGAGATATGACCCAAAAGCAGGATGACTGAGAAGACTGGCCCCTGCCTCTTTGCCTCGCCTCATCTCCCTTGTTCTAAACACCAATCTACCAGCGTGAAAAGCAGGAAGTTAATGATGACCCAATCCTAGCTTTGGTGGAGATGGAGGCAAACACAATTGTAAAGAATGTAATTGAATGCATTAGCAGGCTGCTACATACATTTACATGTTCACAGCGTGTGCCAGAATTAAAGGAGATATCACCTCTAAAGCATTGCCTATTCCCTGCCATGGAAAACTTCTTGTATCATGATGATGATAACAATAAAAAGCATAATAGTAATTACAACTGTTCAGAAATTGGGGTCTGAAAGGGCAGAGGGAGAAAAATGCAATGCCTGGAATAAAGAAGAAAGAGGAGAAGGAGAAGGTGCTGTTGTCTGCTTTGGATTTTCATTTCAGTTTGGGCTGAGATCTGAATTCTCTCCTGGGCCACTGGTAGACCTGGTGATTTAATGACTGTGTAGCTTCATGGCCTCTCAGAGAAACCAAAATAATATCTCCACCCACTCCATGCCAGGAGGAGCTGTTGGATGAGGAGAGTACAGTAGGTCAGATCTGGAGCCCAGTAATACAAATTGTGGTCCCTGGCATTATGAAGACTAAAATCGTGCAGAATGGAAAATCAGATGTTTCCTTGGGACTGGAACCAAAGGCATTAGCTTTACCATTGTCTTCCATGACCTCTTCAGCCCGATCTTCAGGATTAAGATCAGTGTTCTGGAGACAAATACCTTGGTCTTGGGAACCAATGGTCCTTTTCTAATGGCCCATTAATCTAAAGGGATGTTTGTCATTTGGGGTCTGAAGCGAAGGTTCACTGCTAAATGCTTGTTAAACATTCTACAAGGAGAAGTGTAAGAATAGAAAATATTCACAAAAATGTCCCCCACGTCTCCCAAATAATCATCCCTACCTCCAGCCTCTTTGAGTTAGGTACAGCAAGCCTGAGCTTCCAAGGTGAGAATTGAATCTGGTTTTTATAAATCCTCCTCCTCCTCCTCCTCCTCCTCCTCCTCTTCCTCCTCCTCCTCCTGCTTCTGCTGGGAAAAATGGATTACAAGTCACCATCTGTTTGTCT